TCGCATGCGAGTAATCACTCAGGCACTCAGGTTTGCCACTTTGTATGATCATCTTGTAGTGACAATTTAGAACAGTACTGTTTTCAAGGATGAAATGAGATGTTAAGAAAAAAAAAGCCGTTGAGCTTAGGTTTAAAGTGTGAAAGGTTTCCTCTTCATGAATCGCTTTTCGGGGCTGTACCTAGGAATATCGAGGAAGAAGCGGAAGCGGGGGTTGAATTCGTTAGATTGACGAGCGATATCAAACCTTAGAGGCGCGAGTTTGTGCAAGACGTTCCAGGGGGGGAATATACCGAGAATGTTTACCTCAACGAATGCTATTGAAATATACTAGATTTCAAATGAGTTAGCCATGGCCAACAAGCTGCTGTTGTATCTCACTTCCAAACTTTCATCTAACACCTGGGGCCCTTAATCGAAAGTCTCAATTATTTTCGGGCTCGATGTCAAAAAATCTAAATGTTAGGAAAACTATAACGTGTCTTAGCTCAAAAATCTCTCCGTTCTGTTTAATTTCTCATTACTTCGTTCTGTTTCATCGTTCGCATTATGAAAATTCTGTTATCTTGACCTTACAATGTGAACGACACAAATAAAAGCTTTAATTTACAAGACCGAATACCTCTTGAACAGTCAAGAAAGGGCTACAGGAATGCTAATTACCGTTACAGAGACGCGCCTCAGGTCTGACAGTCGAGATCTACGCACTGAATTGTCCCAGATCCCTATTGTACATGCCGCGCAAGATTTTTGGAAGCCGTGATGGAGTGGTAATTATTCTTGGCGCTGGCCCTGTAAATCAAAAGGTCCAGCTTCGAAGCCTAGTCGGTCCTTAAAGGCCGTTCACAACATCCGTTTTTGATTCAGGTTTCCCAGGGTTCCACTTGGGCTCGACGTATTCCGGTACTTTCCATACTGACGGGGGTGGAGTAGAAGGTTCGCCTTCACTTCCTTCGGATTGCGAACGCTGTCTTGAGAGGAACTGCGCATGTGTAGCTAATACTGGGGAAGCAGGTACTTTCGGAGGTGATTTAGGAATAGTTGAGGATTCAAGCTTCCTTGCAGGCTTTACAATGCTAATTCTCGTCTTTCCAAAATTTACTGTTTGGAGAGGTGGATGCGTGTTCTGTGTAGGAGGAGAAGATAAATTCAAGATATAAGCAAAAACAGCCCTTCTGTGTAGTGTAGTGTATCATCACCCAATCAGAATTTACGGACGTTAAGAAACACATTCCGCTTAACCAATCAA